TGTGTGTGTGTGTGTGTGTGTGTGTGTGATGTCAGCCCTGGTTAGCATCATGGACAGTGGATGTGAGAGTTAAGGACACCTTTACCTTCCAGGCTTAGCTTTGTCTCTCAGCTGTCCGATCTCTCTCTCTCCTCTCTCTTTTTCTCACTCACTCCTTCTCTTCGCTTTTTTCGTCCCTTCCCTCTCTCTCAGCCTTTTTTCCTCTCTCTGCCCCCCCTCCTGCGTCCTCCCTCACCCTCTGGGCACCAGTCTCAGTAACTCTGTGTGTTGTGGGATGAAATATTTATCTGTATTGGCAGGCCCTCGCCACCCCCTGTCCTCCTCCCCCTCTCCCGCCTTGCCTCCTCTCCTCCCCCGTGTCTGTCCCTGCTGTCATGGTAAAGGTTCGCTCTTAACTCTCCTAAACTCCCTCACTCCCAAAACCAGTCTTCATTCTGCTGTATTAGCGCATGAAAAAATTGTGTAATGAAGTCAAAGAAAGACGAGAAAGAAAGTGTGTGGATATATTTTTAAAATCTTAATGTGTTTGAATGTAACGCCAAAATACGAATTATCTCAATTCAGTCTTTATTCATTAATAGGTTACAGAAATCAGGTTCCTTCTTGGCCGGGACTGACCGGACCCAATCGCGGTGTCTCAGCTATGTTGAAATAGTTTCTCTGCTTACAGGCAACAAAACAATCACCACACAAGCCTAGTTAACATTACAATTAACTCTGGAAGTAGGCCTACACTTTGCTACTAGCTACCTCAAAATCCACAACCACAAAAAATCCATTAAGCTAAACAATCGAAAGGATTCCAAAACCTGGACGTGCAGTAAACGTTTAAAAACAAATCTGTCCAGAGGGAGGAAACAGGAAATGATGACATGTGGGATATATTTGAAAGCACAGGGATGCACTGTGTTTGCGTGATCTCAGGATACCAAACACATCAGCTGGCAGTGTCCATGTACCTGACCCTAGTGGTGGCCAGGACAATTGAATATATATATATATGAATACTTTAACTTTATCTTCCAAATTGTAGTCTAAAAAAAGTTTTTATCGTTTTTTGCTTTTTGTAAGTAGAATGTAACAGTTCTGACATCGTTTAGGCACCAGAACCGTTTAAAAGTATTAATTTGGTATTGGAAAAATCCAAACAATCCCCAACCCTATTCACGATCAGGAGACAAAAGGCCTCCTCTTCTCAGGTAAAAGGCTTTATACACTCCTTCACTCGTCCCTCTCTCGCCTATATTTGCCCGTCATTCTATTCCACCTCCTCTCCAAAGTTTACTTCCTGCTACTCCTCTTGTCTCCTTCCCTACTCGTCCTGTATTGTTCTTTACCTCCACTTTGCCCTTCGCCTCCTATTTTCTGCTTCTCCTCTTCCGTCTAAAACACTCTTGAGATCTCGTCCTCCCCAAATCTTGTTGTACAAGGATGTGGAAAATCAAGCGGAGGCAAATATTGTCCCACGACGCCACTGTTTTTTTTTTTTTAATGAGGACAAAGAGGCTGAGATGATGCTCTGTGGCAGCCCGCACTGATCTCACCTGTCAGAACCCACTGAGAAGTATACAAGGCAGAGATGGGACTGAAACACAGAGACGTACTTGAAGGGGGAAGACGATGCAGATCCTGCTGCTCGGTGACAGATGTTACACGAGGGATTTTAGTGACTGTGCATGGAAAGTTTTTAAACAGTCTCGAGCGCAAGTGGGTGACTGACGTGTGAATAATTGTCAGCTCATTACAGCTGCCACTCCACTGAACCACTTTAAGGGCGTCTCTGACTCACTGTTCTTCCTCCATAATCTGAATCGGCTGATTCCTGCCTCAGTCTTCCTCACTGCCTCTACCTGTCGCACCTCACACATCTATTGAGACTGGATTTGCATGTGACCTAATTGACGGTGTTTCAGTTTGCGCGCGCACATGCTGCACGTACACCTGTTTATCCGCTACCTGACAGTGATGTCTGTATCGCAGAATATTTCTTGTTTGGGTGGCTTCATCCCGCTCATGCGCCTAACAATAGCCTCCTAATTAGCTGTTTATCTTCCTCTCCTTCTGTTTCGCTTTCTCTCCACTCTTCCTCACTTCTCCCTCCGCTCAGTATCGAGACGCTGTGTGAAACATTGCTAAATATACACATGGAGCAGAACAGGGGGAAACAGACGCTCTCATTTTTTTTTTAGTTTGAAGGAGCGCTGAAAGTAAATTGTAAATTGAAAGGAGCGACAGTGCAAATAAAGCTTTAGAGGTTTTGGAAAAAATGCTTGTTATCTCTTGCCCTTTTCGAGAAGATAGAAAAATGCAGACATTGAGAGATGGAGAAAGAGAGAGAGAGCAGGGTGGAGAATAACGGAAGAAAAATGGATCAGGCTCCCTCCCCTTTCATCTGGGAGCACCTTTATGACCTACTTTCTCTGTTTGTTCTGCGACAAACACTTTCACACACAAACACACAAACCTCAAGGCATGGCATTTTACTCTGAGTAGACGCTGGCATTTCATTCACTGGGCAAAAAAACCCTCTCTCTGCTGTTCCCACTGGACTGCACCATGTCAATCACTCCGACAACTTAAGGGCAAAACGTTGAGATGTAGTTCAGAGAAAAGATGTACAAAACCTCCCCTGGGTGGGAAAAAAAAATGAGAAAAGTTTACCGCAAATTGAACGGTAAAATTTTCATCTCTAGAGAACTGTAGCTTCTTACATTGGTTTTCCAGCACTGTCAGATAATCAATGTCACATCCCTGTGTGAAAGGTTATGAGCAAAGTGCTAGCTGTGGCGCTTATGGTGCGTCACAGTGTGGCAGATGAGGTGTGTGTGTGTGTGTGTGTGTGTGTGTGTGT